TTGCAGCTGAGCGTGGCCACAGATGGACCAGCAAATTACAGACCACGTGGACCGGTGCACAGAATAACAAGCCGCCAAGCATCCTCCACGGCTGCCAGTAATTCTCTGGCCAGATCCCGAACCCTCGTGATCGAGACTTCACCGCGGCTACTGATGGAAACCATTATTTTGGTAGACGCTTACTCAAAATGGTGAGTCATACCTGTCACCCCACTGAATACCATGAGAATGTGGAAAGCCCTCTCCTATATCTTCTGCCATCATAGTCCCTCACAAACTGTTGTCTTGAACGACAGCCTCTGGCCTACGTCAACTCAGTTTAAAGATTTTTGTCGTCGACATGACATACAACACCTACTATCACCACCATACCATCCTCAGTCGAATTGGCGAGTAGAGCGTTTTGTCTATACATTCAAAAAGGCTTCACTTAAAGCACGGGGGGAAAAGTACATCACTGGATATAATCTAAAACTTTCTACTCATGTATCGAATAACACTAACTGACTCACTCGCGAATCACTGATGTGAAGAAAGCGACGTACAGTGTATCATGCTCTACTTCCGGAAGATCGACTAAAAAGGTTACAAGGTTTCCAAAATTATTTCGAGAACAAAACACTAATACTCACCAGAGACTGCAGACCAGGGCATAAAAAGTGGACAGAAGGATTAATTATCGGCAGATATGTGTATGTTATGTGGTGTTTCAGCGGGAACAGAAACTTGAACGCAACATAAAAATCAGCTGCAATACATAGAACAGGCAGTCGAAGAAACCAAACACAACTACATCCCACTAGAAATCCTACTAGGTGTCCAGAAAAACACTAAACCTCTGGTAAACAAAGAATCACAACCCAGATCAGATCAACTCAGAAAACGGACAGTTCGGTTCCAGGTGGATCCCAAGTAACAAACTACCTCCTCTTTTTAAAAAAAGAGGAGGTATTAGAGAGGGCTGATCCCTAGAAAAAGCTAAATTATAATATGTAGATATTTTCAATGTAAAATGCAAAACTTATTTACACACCTTTTCTGATCCATCCAATGTTACTTATTTTTAGCGCACTTTCAGATACAAAACGCTGATTGGTCCATTTTACACTTTTAATATGCTTTTTTGTTTTGCCTGATCAGTGCCTTTAAAGTAATGTATATAAATGACTGAACTTCCAGTCATAATCGCACTATTCGGTTGAAGTAAATAAACCTTCAATCCCACTGTCTTCTGTTCTTCTGGTGTCAACTGAATATCATGTTTAAAAGTCATTGTTCTACGGTTAGTAGTATCGCATCACGAATTCAAGTCGGACCTCGTAGCTCAGTTGGTCGGGTATCGGACCGGAAACCCAGTCGCTGGGTTGAATCCGGCCGCGGTCCAAATTTTCATTTCACCTTCAATCACCAACCAGTATCAAAGTAGTTTGCAGTATTTTCTTAACACAATCACTTGAGTGTGATTTAGGTTGGGTATCTATATCATAAGACTAATACCAATGGATGGTGACTATCAATGAAATTGAGGACTCTCACTTCATCTTGTTTGGGAATCGTCAGTTGGGCATACCTGCCTTCCAGTGAGTCATATTGTTCTCACCAGGACTCGAGCCCAGAACATAGCGCCCTGAGGTTTTAAGCAACGCATCTTGATATCGAGTCTTAGTGGGAGGAACATCACTGGTTAAACTGAACCTTTCGTTCTAGATCCCACCACTAGTCACTATCCATCACCCTTATAGAACCGAAATCAGTGGGAATATCGAGGAACCTGCGCAGGAGTCCATAGGCCAATATTCGTTGATTAGTTCGGTCTAATCGACAATAGGAAGCTACAAGCAACAGTATCAAAAACTATAACCATAATCACTTTATTCCACGCAATTTGTGGTGCAGTTTGGAATTCTCAGCATGGTATATTCCAACAACAACAAAATGTATGTATATACATACTCCATTACAACATTTCCAATTGTGTTATCATAAAAATTTAATTGATGTAAAGAATATTAAAACGAGAACATTTTACATTTTTAATTAAATTATTGAAATGAGACTGTTAACTCTAACAAAGTTGATATGTGTGAGTTCTGTTCCAACAGGCTTCTCCTCATATAGTATGCCTGCCAGGTGAGGTACAGTCGAATTCTTATACTTAACTGTACAAGAGTACAGTCTTATGTAGTTTCTCCTTGCCCTCCCTGAGGATATTCAAGGAGAGAGCTATGAATGAAGTGGATGATCAGTATCACCTCAAATTACTGTAGCTAGTTGCTTGCTAGAATTTATATGTCTTTCACCTACAGTGTTAATCAGTTGGGCCAGAGACACACCACTCACCATACTGACAGCTTTCAATGCCCTACACAATATAACATAGTCCCTTTTTTAGATGAAGGGTGAACAATATAGAAGAATAGGTAAAATGCAGGAATTAATAAATTGTAAAGGAAGGAAGAGGTTGCGTTACACCACAGAGCCTCAGTTTCTTCATGTAATAAGTTAAACGAAAGATTTTTCTACAAGTCAACCAACAGAGATCACAAGTAAAACTCACTCCAAGATACTTAACACTCAATTTACGTTCTGCAGAAATACCATCAATGCTGCAACAAGCGTCATGAGATTCAAGCCGCTCACACACGCCTCAGGCTAAAATCAGATGTCTGACATTTAGAAGGGTCTAACTTGAGACCATTTGAGAGAGACCATTGACCAACTGTAGACAAGAATCCATTTAATTCAGCTCAAACTAAGTGAGAGTTAACTGGAATAGACACCGTCACATCATCAGCATACTGAATAAAACTAATTTCAACAGAATAAGATAAATCGTGCAAAAAGAACGAAAACACAAATGGACAAAGTACAGTCCGTTGAGGCATACCGACTTCAGTAAGCAATGGAGTGGAGCGCTTCCCCTTTATAAACAGTATTCTGTTTCATTTCAAAAGAATAAGAATATGGCCACTTTGTAACCCATAGGTCTGTATGAGTCATGTAAAGCTTATTTAAGAGGAGTAGTCCAGGAACAGAGTCAAAGGCTGATGAGTAATCCAAAAAGGTACAACAAACATACTTAACACCCTTCTCCAGATTAGAAACAATATTACGATGCAAGACAGTGACAGAATCTAAAGTACTTCTGCTATGTTTGTAAGCAAATTGTTTTGGATCTCTGAAAACCATCAATGAAGGCTCAATCACTAGGGGAAGTAATTTCATGATTGTCTTCAAAAAAGGGGATGGGTCAAAAATTAACATCTGATCCAGAAAATGACTTAGGCACAGATATAACTTTGATCTCCTTCTAAGCACTGGGTATAATGTTTTTAGAAAACGATGCATTGAAGATATCTGTAAGGGGATGATATAAAACACTTGCACATTTTCTAAATATAATACTCAAAACACCATCAGAACCTAAGCTTTGGCATGCATATATATATATATATATATATATATATATATATATATATATATATATATATATGACTCACTCACTGAGTGGATAACCCTCTACATAGTTTCAAAACAAGTTGAATAAGAAAGTTTTAAGTTTCTAACAACACAACTTAGGTTACTAATGTCCCTCCAATGGAAACTATCGATTACATTTGTGAACAATTATTGGAAAGAAAATTAGACACTGGCATTCCGATTATGAGTTTAAAAGAACCCTTCCTAAAATGTACAATGAATGTCCAGTTCATCTTCAATAGTAATCTGTACAGACAAGTTGATGGAGTGGCCCAATATTTGCAGACATATTTCTGGTGAAATAGGAAAAATGGTCCTTTTTAAGGTCAAATTGTCAATATGGAGTCGTACTGTCCACACATGGATGATACTTCGCTAGTCTTAGACAAGTTTCTATGCATTAATTCTATTGTGAAGCATTTCAACAGTGCTGCTCATCCATCAGTTCATTTTACATACAAAAATGAGACCAATGATTCGATACATTTTCTTGACGTATTAATGACAAGAAACACAGATGACTCTATACTGAGTACGTATAAAAAACCAACATCTAAGGAACAGTTTAAGCACTTTCTCAGCTTCTTACCGATGAAGTACACACGTGATATAATCAAGTGCCTGGCATTTAGAGTAAGATCAATCTGTTCCAAGGAGTGCGTGAAAAAAGAACTACTGTGTATCCGTGATATTCTAAGTGAAAACGGATATCCGGACAAGTTCATCAAAACTAACATCAACTATATTGGTGTTAAACGAGAAGTGTTTCTCCGCTTACAATTAAAGGGAGATATTGCAAGCGATATTCTTTCTCAACGCCTAGCTAGAGCAGTCAACAGGACGTTTTATGCAGGTCGACTTTGTATATCATTCAGTAGTCGGCCAATGCTAAATGCGAGACTAAAGGTTAGCCCACCTAATCTTAGCTCTTCATCTTGTATACATCAATTTAACTGTTCCTGTCGAACTAGTTACATAGGGCGTACGATTAGATAGAAGCGTCTCCAAATATGAGCATTTACCAGCAAGGTTCGGAAACGCCGAAGTGGAAGTGGTGAAAAGTTCAGCCCTAGTGTATCTAGTCAACACAGGGCATCAGATAGATACTAATAAAGCTATCACTGTCATTCATCTTGTTCCGGAAACGACACCTTATGTAGCTCGTTAACGCCTTCTCAACATAGCGGATGCTGTCACAATAAGAATAATCAAGCCTAAACTTTGCATTCAGAAAGAGCATGTCCAATGGTTACTTCTCCCTTGGCCTTCCAGCTAACTAAAGGCCACTCATGCCATTCCGTTTTGAAAATATAACTCTGTATAACATGGCTTGTTTTTACGCTGTACAAATGTATTTTATAATTGTAGAACATGAAAAGAATATTCTTCGCTGTCTAGATTGTTGCTTTTTATATACAACATATATGTATATTATTTTTACAAATAACTACAAAATCTATCTAAAATATGTTATCCAGAATCTTTTTTACATAGGATAATATTGTTATAATATACACACACTACTTGATAGAAGGAATCTTGAAACCTTTGTGAACAGCAACAATACCATCAGAATAATTTGTCCAGTTAACATCAATAAATCCTGATTGTTCAATTATCTCAGCGAATTCCTTTTGATCTGGAAATTTACGAATACTTTCAACTAAGTATTTATAGGAATTCCAATCACCTGCAATAAGTTGTCCAATCACTGGAATCATTTGCATAGAGTATGCATCATAGATCCTTAAATTGAAAAAAAAAATTGTTTTTCTTTTAAAGACAATATGTTGTGTTTAAATATCATAATAACAATTAAGATTTTCCATTATTACATCTATAAGGAACTTGAACAGGAACAGTGTCAGTGGGTATCTCTGTCCGACACCACTACTTGTCATCAATTTGAATGACAACTTTTCACAAGCTCTTCTACGGCTACATGGGTTTCAGCAGAGAGCTTTGATTAACACCACATACTTGCTCAGTACTCCCTTCACAACTAGACACTGTCACAGAACCTCTCGGTTGACACAGTCGAATGCTGCCTTTACGTCAACAAATAGAGCAAGTGTTAGCTGTCGGTAAGTCTATTTGTGTTCCATAAGCTGACAAAGGGTGAAGATTTGATCGATACAACCTCGTTAAAGTTTAAAACCTGCCTGATTTTCTCGAGATCCAGTTATGCATCAAATAACTATAGATCCTAGGATCGTAAATACGATATACGTCGCATGGCTGTCACATGCAGAATTCTTTCACTACTTATGGGTTGGAATAATAAGCGATCCAAACCAACTTTAGATTCACAGATACCAGCTGGTATCACTAAGTAACAACCTACCTCAACCCCTGGAAACTTCTGTTGGAGAACTGTCAGGTCCTACTACTTTGCGTTGCTTCAAATATGGAAGTGGCCTCTCAACGCCAAGGAGAGTTGGACGACCGACGTCCATGTATCATTCAGGTTCACGCTGGGTGTTGATAAGCTAAAATGTGACTGTCGGTAAGTTAAAATATTCTTTAGTGTTCTGTCTAACGATCCAACTGTCTGTCATGAGATGTTATCAATGACCCATCCTTTCCGATGGCGGTGTTTGGGATGTTAAACACTTAAAAGTGAATATGTTATGCCTAAATTTCACAGATATACCTTTTAGAAAATTTAAATTATCCTTTTTCACACCTTTGTTCGCATCTACAACTCATTTTAACGCTTTCAAAAACGCCTTTCCCCTATTAGTTAACCCTCTACATTTAACACGCTAATTTGTCTGTGCGCACCGAAGACCCATATTTCACATAAACGCAAGAGCTGAGCTCCTAGATTCATACTCTAAAACCTAAGTAAACTCTCTTCAGTTCAATAAAATCCTCTTCCTTGTGTTAGCTGAGCGAGTTGTCCAGTCTCAGATAGTTCACTTGGCATCCAGGTTACCATTCCTAAGTAACCGTATCCAAAAATCTCAACAGTCTTCTAGGCTAAAAGGTTTAGTTGGAGTGAGAAGTAAGTGAAAAGAGAAACGATGTCTCTTTGTCATATTCTGCCTATGCCTCCAACAGACAGAAGTTCGGATGCGGTTCTACTATAAACTCAGTGACCTACTCTACCAAGTGCACATGATAGATATGGTAGTGCCAAGTGTGGAATTAAATGCATAGGTTGACGTCTATGCCCGGAGGAGAGTCAGTTTAGTAGACGAAGTTTAGTCGGCTGCAGATCAGATTAAAACTTCTTTCTAGCCAGCACAAAATTTGGCACAACCATCCCTATTGTGCTACTTGGCATTCCCGTTCTATCATTCAAGCCCGGACTAAATAGATCATATTCAATCAGATACCAATGGAATGGGTGTATTCAGGACTGCCGCTCGTTCTGAAACACTTATCTGGACTCTGATCATGCTTGAGCCCTTGTTAATGTCATCTTGCATTTGGTGGTTATTAAAATCATCGTCCGAAAGGGATCGACGTTAGGGAACTGGTTGTTCCTAGCACTGTAATAAATACCACAGCCAACTAGACTCAGAGCTAGCTGTAGAACTTCTAGAAAGTATAGGTGAGCATTGGTTACACTCGCAAAATGCAATGAAAACGACGAGTAAACTTACGTGTGGTTTTAAAGAACATCTTGATAAAAAAACATTGGGTCTCTTTGATCCCCTATAACTTCTTGACGTTCGGTTGTATATCCCGGAAGGTAACGAGAACGAAAGTGTGCGTAAGTCTCTCAGGCATCAGGTCAAACAATATTTGTGTAAGGACTGAAAAGTCATGTATACAGAATACAAGAGTGAGATGGAAGCAGCAGTTGCATCTGGCAACAGTTGAAAGCTGTTCTAGCTGATACGAGCGATTGGTAGCAAAAAAACTGATGTCCACGAGATGATCTGTGAAGTAGATGGTACGCTGGTTAACTTACATGGATGATGTCATGCTAGACAGCGCAATTCGAAAAGCTGCAACCACCTGACATCAACGTTTTGTAACCCACCGTGAATGAACTCTGATCCACACAAGTAAGTGGATGTCCGTTACGAAAACACAAGCTCTGAAGTGACATGCGGAACTCGACCAAACACCCTACTCCTGGTTCTTTTTTAGGGATGAAGGTGAGACTGTCGTCGCAGAATTGCCTACATTGTCAGGAAAGGTATGAAAGACTGAATGTTCTACAGCTATGGAATAAACCATTGTTTTGTACATCTTTAGAAAGGGTCTACATAATGTGTGTGATAACTATCAGGGTATCAGTAGAGTCTTGAGTGTTGGGTTCGACCATACTCTGCTGATTGTGCAAAACGCATGAGAATCTGATCTGCAAGGAGTAGGACTCTGAAGTTACTCAATAGTATGACTATATTTGCAAGTCTTGCTTCATGAAGTGAAATTGACAGCTGTTAGTAGAACCCACAGTTTTATTATCTGACTCAAGTCGGTGGCGTATAAAAGACCACGAAAAGGCATCGGTGAGTGTCAGAATCCTTCTCAGTTTCCACAGACACAATCATTCAGTAAAGCATTACATAGATGGTCGTCAACTGATATCCAGTCAGAAGTGAGCTTTCTGCTCTACAACAAACGCTATACCTACACTGATGAGTTTACGGGAGTAAACCATTAAATCTCCGAACTAGTGCAAAATGGATTTCGCAAACTCATCAAATTGGTTAGGCGGGTCAAGTGAACAACCACATTTGGTTTCTGTATATGTCTCAGAAACAGCACAAATTCATAACCTGAGATTCCAGAGTTCTTGGTACGAGACGCCTGTTGCCCGATTCCGCTGAGGGTTTGGACGTTGAAAGACCCAATTTGAAATTGGTAGCGTCGTTTTAGAAGACTAAGGATGGTATTTTTTTTTCTGCGATAGATTGTTAGTAGAGGTCGCAAGTCAAGAAGTTGAGGGAACAATAGTGAGCGTTAAGAGAATCATAATAACTAGAAATCCATACATAATCAAAGAAACTCACTTTCTGAATAAATAATTTTCAACTCTACTGAATTCTAAACAATAAAAACGACCCCAAGGACGTAGGACACGATGCGCCTCTGAAATAACCTACCAAAAATTTCCGAAAATGTCATAGAGATTATCTTACCTTTTCAATGTATGTGCAGTTGCGTATTCCAAAAGCAATGGTATATACATCGAATGAGTTATCACTGAATGGAAGATTCTCAGCATTTCCTTCCACCCACTGACTTACGGAAAAAGATTATGATGATAGAGTGATAGGCTTACTGTTTGTATAACCTAATGCTTTGCACGCTGTTTTCCAACTTCCATCATCGATGAGTTAATATCACAGACTGTGACTTCAGGACCAACAGATTGTTTCAATTCAAAACTTTCCGGTACAACATTAATATGCCTAGCATATTTCATTATTCTAAAGGCGATATCACCTATGGAGAAAATGATTACACAACTAATAGACAACAGTGAACTTATCACTAACCTGTCCCACCGGCAACATCTAAACACCTTAGTTTATCTGTTGGCATAATTTGATCGACGAAGAAATCTTTCCATAATCTATGCACACCGAAGCTCATCACATCATTCATCAAATCATATTTTTTGGCAACATTCTCAAATACATGGTTGACTATTTTAAAGATTAAAAAATTGATTTTAAAGTCACCTTTTGATTGTTTGTCTTCAACAGCCACTGTTTCAAATCCAAAATGTGTTGATGAAAAGTTATTTTTCTGTTTAGTCAGTATGTTAAATTTACGAGTAACGTTTTGGAAAATAAAGGATGAAAGACTCTTCATATTCTGGCATGTATACACGTACATACAGGTACGAACTATCAGAAATAAACAAAGTTAAACATGACAAGTCGATAAGAATGAAGACAAGCATTACTGAGTAACATAGCGAAGTGGTACAGTAGTCCAGCAGTTCAATTAGTTTAACAGTGTACAGCAGTGCCGAAATTAACAAGCATATGGTAACATAAGGATGAACACTTCACAACAGTATACAAAGAAATGAGGATAAAAAGTGTGTTGGAATAGGCAACACTGCATAGAAAAACAAATGAATACTGATAAAAAAGTGCCCCAAATTTTTGTCGATGAAAAACGGTGTATACATAAATCTGCGCCAGTGTGACCAATTTTAGCCACATCAATGATAATCTCTACCGCCGATTATCACATGACGTGATTCATTGCTTTAGGCAGTTCACCAGTGGGTTACGGATTTAAACGCTACTTCAACTAACGAGGTGTGTGCAGTCAGGCAGTACCATTAGCCTTCATACAATAAGTGGCTGACTGTCTACTGCATGGACGTGTACATAGTTTATGAGTGTACTCTGAATAACTTCAAGGTCGCCAGTAGTGAAAATATTTATTTTTAATATCATCAGTCTTCTCAGACAGCTACCTTGATTTGAAAATTTTGATAAACCCGGGCTTCTAAACCGAATAAATTCATATGAATGGGTGAAGGAGTCATCCACTTAGGAGGATAACGAGCACTCCAGGTTACGTTACTTAAATTAAACCGGTGAGAGTTAACGGTTTATGTGGGTGCCAAAATGCTCATTCTCAACATGTTTATGTTATGCAAACATGCTCCAGAACTTATATACAACTTAAAAAGGAAATTATATATGACATTATGCATTTTTAAAGAAATCTCGCCTAAACAACACAGATGAATCTCGTATGACTAGGTGACTTTTACTTGGTCAAAAACCACTCGAATAGCCACTTTACTACGCTTTTTAACAATTTACTGTAGGGTGTTAACAGACTAGTTCATTAACAACCACCTGACCGTGAATATCCCGCATAGTCAGCTCTCGCTGTGATACACATCAATGCTTAGAGACCTTCGGTGAAATAGCCGGAACTTGGTAACAGTGTCGCGCATGCATTCACTCTTTCATGTCTTTTCTTCCAAACCTTCAATATTTTCACTAATCTTCATTTTCGAATTCCTGCTACCCCTGTACAGCCGTCTACTTTAATGTAAGTTTTTCCATAACCACGTGTTCCTTGTATGCTACTGTGAAATGTGACAAATTGAAGCTGCGAGCACTCTTGTGGGGTTTTGTGTTGATCTCGTTTGTCTTAGTCATGGAAGTTAGTGTAACATACCTTTGTGCTACTTGGGGATTCGTCCAACCTATGAACAGCACCCCAGGTAACACTTGCCGCAAAGACCTCAATACCCGAAAACTCAGCATTTCTAGGTTTTCCCTATTTATACTGCCGGCCCATCAGTGCAGATACAACTTTTCGTCTCCTTATTCCGTCCTCAAGTATTCGTATATTCTTATCCTTAACCTTAGATGCACTCCTCAGGACAATGTGACGTTCTTCAGGAGTATCTAGCACAGCCTTCATAAGACGTCATGCATCAGCAACTTTGTCCACTTCCCCCTAATGTTAACACCCCCAGGTCTACTCTCATGGATAACATTGGTAGGTCAGCAGTCGGGCCTCGTAGCTCAGTTGGTGGAGCACCGGGCTGCGAACCCGGTGGTCCCTGGTTTGAATCCCACCGCGGTCCAAATTTTCATTTCACTTTTGATCATCAACCAGTATAGATGCTATTCCACCAAACCACGGCTATCTTGGATAGTCAGGACGACAATGAATATTTTTAACAGCTCTACTCGCCTTACTCGTTAGAAAGTTCAGTATTGCCTTACATTTGATAAAGATGACCTATGAATTGTTACTAGCCATAACTTGAAAGCAACGGCACACCGTAACGCCACTGAGGGAATACGCATGCTATGGTAATTCTGTAGGATGAAGAAGAAATATTTATGATACTATATCCTACTTATGTAAGAACTCATCTAGAATACATCACACTTGCAGCTAGTCTTTATTTCAAGCACGATGCAGATACACTAGAACGGAGACAAAATGCGAGTACAGAGTTGGGGACAGGACTTTTGTATCTTTCCTATGAAAAGCGGTAAGAAAGTCAATATCTTTTTTGATTAACGAAAAGTCCTTAGGAAAGGGTTGTTCTTACATTAGCGTGTCGTATCATAAATAATGACTTCGGCGTTGACTTCTCTCGTCAACTTACTCCGTTTAGGACTAAATTTCTAAGAGTTCATCATAAAAAGTTCAAAAGTCACCATCAGATAAACTACGAGTGGAACTCAAATTTTCTCAAAGGGCATTCAACTATTGGAACCTATCACCTGAACCTGTGGAAGCTTGTCCTTCGGTGAACACTGTTAGAAGTAGATATTCACAGAGATTTTTACTGCCAGGATTGTTACAGGCTCCTCGGTTCAACATCCCTAAATCTGAAGACTGTACTCAAAATATGTTGGGCAAGTTTCAGCCCATACAGACCAGAAATGGGAAAATAAATCGGATAAAAAGGAAAAAAGTGTGAAATGGAGGAAGCTTAATAGTAAAATAAAGCGATATTCGTAAGGAAATGCCATTGATTTCCTTTTATGATTTTCGCCTTTTGTCTATTCCCCCCCCCCTCCTCATATGTTCGATAACCTGGTGGCTATTCTCAAACAGATGTATGGCTGTTTTTGCAAAGGTGATTTGAGAGGGAGACTAAAACATGAACTACCTAAAATGTTGCTAGTAGGCTTGAAGTGGTTTTTGACCGGGGGCGACGTGTCATTCCAAAAAAATGCAGTGCTAAATGAGCAGCGAACTTTTTTTTAAAAAAGTCGTTTATCACATGAGAAAACATTTACGCATTATGGCTACTGAACTCAGGGAAGCGTGAGGAAGTGTTTACTTCAAAAACTACACATATAAACGCAACAACACAAAGATTCGTAGCGTATTACTTTGAAACTGTGCTAAACATGTACACATCCAATTAAGTTAAGCAAATGAAGTAAACCAACACCACATCAACTAGTGAAACCGTTTCATACCAACTGACAGGAAATTCAATGTCTTTTTTATATCCAACATTGATAGTGCGAGCGTAGAAAACTGGTAGTTTTTGATCTCTCACGTCTAGTTCACGAGCTAGCATAAACCAACTGGTTTCTTCGCACTCGCTTCTGTGTTCCAAGGAAAGGTTCAAGTCTTTGGTGGAGAACCTTAATTAGAAGGTTGATACCACAGTCAGGAGAAGAGATTGAGCAAGTAGGACTAAAGAATGGATTACGGAAACAGTGACGTCATTGATTTTGGTACGGCAGCTGGGGGTGAGGTGTTTAACAATAAAGTACGCGTTTGAGTCAAGTTCGCTATGATAGTGGCGGCACAAAAGACTCGGTACAGAGTTAATTGCGTCGGATTGTGCAGAACTGGTCGTGTCAGCCTAGTTCGTGTCCGGGCTGGGTGAGCACAGGCCACGAGTTCCTGCCCAGTTGTCCAACTTCTTCTTGAAGCTATTGACAGATAAAGCAGTAGTACTATCGCTAGGCTGTGTGTCCCAGCAACCGGAAACTCGCACGGGAAAAAGTGAGAAAGCACACGGTTTTTCACTCCTTTATGGGCCATCCGCTATGAGTCACCACAAAGGCAGCCACACTGGCTGTTCCGTACCATTCAACCATCCAGAATGCATGGATTACGTGATATTTTTCAAGCATTTACCAAGTCGGACATAGCCTACAGTAACTAGGGGAGCAAAGGCCTAGGTATTTCATCCTCTTTTCATGAGGCTTTTTCCGGATCCCCACAACACCTTTCATCACTGACTTACGAACTTTCTCAGGGCCTCCACGCCTCTTTTCAGGTATGGTGGTGCAGTGATGTTGCGGACCTCTGAGTGAAGTTATTTAAATGACCCTTGAGGAAGAGTTCCAGGATGCGGATATCTAGTTGTCTGCCCATGAGGTGTAGCCCTGCGTATGCTCTTCACGCATCTTCTGGATAACTGTAGACAGTGCCTAACCTGTGAGCCAGTATTGGCCTCAGGTCTTTTCCCGCTGTGGCGTGGGAAAGTTGCATACCGCGGAATGAGCAGTACACTTTTACGAGCTCCGGTGTGGAGAAACATGCTTCGGCATTTATCCAGATCAAGCGCTAGTTTGTTATTACTCACCCGCTCTGCAAGCAATCCGACATAGCATCGTAGTGAGCTTGGTTTTGTTTCGGATGTTATAGATCTCTATACCCTAAACAGTGTCAGCATGAAGCAGAACCGTGGAAATGAGACTGAACGGGGGTCATATACAAAAAGGAGGAACAGCAACGGGCACAGAATCGTTCCCTGCGAAGCGCGAGATGGTGACTTTCTGCAAGTCAAGCAAGTCTTGTTGACCTTGGTGCAGAATTCTCTGTCGTCTAAATAGTTCTGCAGCCAGAAAAGCACTTAACCGCTGATGCCCAAGTGAGAATCAGGCTTGTTTCCCTAGGTGGCCTATAAGGAGGCAGATGTCATGCTAATCAATTACAGTCTGTGCGGTTAAGTGAATTAAATTAAGCCCCAGCATTTTCTATGAAGTCGCACACCATGGCGTGACTACCTCTGGGGATATAGTAAAGTTTCCTGACAAAAACCCTACAACCTTAGAGGCCGAGACCTCCTAGTCGCACCACCACACACATTCAAATGGCTTAAACCTTCACTTTCCACAACTCCTTACGCCAACACTTGGGACAGACTGGAGCGTGATTTCAGATGTCGCAAGACTATATCGCGGTTTTAGTCAACCGTGAACTACCGCCTCGATGAACTTGGAGCGTGAAGGATCTGTAATGTACATAGATGATGACATGCTCCTTATCGGCCCATCAAATATATGGGGTCCAAAAAGCAATAATTCAGTGCAACCACTCAAGAACTTATCATGCGATGATTGATTTTTGCGGTAGTTGTGTTTGACGCTAGTTACTGTCCCTGACCTCCATGCTCCGATAATTAAGCTACTCTTGTCCCCCCGTACAAACAAACATTCCACCCACCGCTCCCTCTTCTTTTTGTAATAGGCTAGGAGTCTTTGCGCTGTACAGGGGTACAGGTCATTTTTGAGCGATAAATCAGGTTTGACTGTGGGATGAGCGGAGGTATGATTGTCATAAATGTTGCCCGTTGTGTGATAAACACCGGGGGATGATTGGTCAACGATGTATGCACGGTATTAGCCAACCGACAGCGATCTGAAAATATCCTTGTAACCATCAGCCGTACTGAGCGTAGTAAAATATGTTTGAGAAATTAACGTAAAAAGACGCGGAGATAGTGATAACTGACCGGCAGAAATGATGGGAGTGAGATAAACTCGAACTACCCCTGCTTGTGTGGCGGTATCTTGAAGAGTCCTACGGCCCTTGATTTCATGACTACAAAATAATAGTGAAAGAGAACGAGGCTACTGAAGGAATAATGAATCCGTCATGCCTACTACGTCAGCTCACTCTGCGCCACCACATTATCTTATATGATACCACTCCATGATCGTTCCCTCCCCAAGACTATACAAAGAATGGCTACCACTGTAGCAAAACGCATAAGTTTTGTCTAGATGTTTATAACTTCATTTAACTCTTGTGCGTAGGTCTTCTGCACTTAGGCGAATTCCTGGTTCTAAAATCTTCCATTCTCTCTATCCCATAGTAAAATCCTCGGCTTCAGTTTTGTTTTCACTACTTTCGTATGCACCTTCATCTTCTTCCCCGTAAGCTCACCTCTAAACAATTGGTTTCGGATACTTCACCAAGTAACTTTCGTAGTCAGCACAATGAGTTCACTTGCACATATCATGGTCGATATGCTTCTGCGCAGTATTTTTGTGCTTCCATTTCGAATCCCACCTGCTGCTCATTTTTGCCATTCTTTTTTCGGGTTTACTTTACCAGTCCTTTATCCACATGGAATCCTAGTAATCGCACTTGCCGGCATGTACCGTACCATCAAAACTTCATGATGGACGCAAACAATCCAAGGTCACGGCTGTACTGCCCATCCTAGGCTTAAGGATATTGGATGGTTCAAACAATGGCGGAATAGCTCCTAATTTCGAACTGAGAATGCTTCAGTCCGAAGAACAATTATGTTGGTGTTTATCTGTTTTATTCCTCGTTATCTGCGAAGCATCAGTGCTCTTTCTGTAAACGCATCTCGTATGTACTACGAATGACGGCTTCGAACAACTTCCTTGGTGTTGTACTTGACGGCCAGTCCACATTATCAAATACTCAAACCCGCCAACTGGTTTGTTTTCATGTAACTTATATGTTATGAAATATATTATTATCACTCTAACAGCATGTGGGATTGTGTCAGAGGCCTTAGCGAAATCCAGGAAAACCAGATGAACGCGGACTTTGAGGTCCCAGCGTGCCGTCCAGTTTTCAGTGGATGCTAGAAGGCCTGAAGAGCGGGACCTGCTCTTTCTGAAACCACGTTGAGCATCACTTAGTACTTTCCTCTTACGTAAGTACTCTCCGACACTGTCGTTCATCAGGCTACCCATTACCTTCAATGACATTGGTGGAACTTCTGTGGGTCGATAGCATTTCGAGTTCTGCTTGTCATCTTTCTTGAAAATGAGAGTGAGAATAACGCGCTTCAACTCCTGTGGGGGCATTCGTTTGTCTAAAAAGTGTTGAAATGGATTACGGGTTGGACCACCCAAGGCACCAGAACATTGTTCCAACAAGGATGGACGGTTGTCACCGCATTTAGGCGATTTTCCTACACAAGGCCTTAGTAGTCTTTCAAGGGGTTACCTTTATTCTACGAAAACCTTTTACATCTACCAGTGCGGATGGCCTGTCAGGCGGGACGAAAGAGAGTTCAACTGCGTGCTGAAAACGGCGCCGAATGTTTCAGCAGCCTCCGGTACAATTCATAACACAGGCTCCCTGGCTGGCAGATTTTGTCCCCGTCATGAATCGATGTAAGTTTCTTGGGTTCGCTTCAGGCTTCTGGCCAAGGTTTGTCTGGAATAACTTCCCGTACCCACTCACATTGGTGCTGCATCGATTTTCTGGAGTCACGTAGTAATGAAATACTTAGAATAATGAAGTACACGAACTGTCGTCTTTTTTACAGGCAATATCTGAATATTATTGTTCTCAGGCTGAGAAAGTTTAGAAAGGATAAATCATCATGCCACACGTGGTCTCCCGGAGTACGCGTTCGTTTGGATACTGCCGGTCACAAATATCGTGTGAAAGCCGTTTCATTACACGGCAGCAGAGAAAATTAATATGGATACTATTACTCCGCATGAGCAGCATTCTGGGTACATTTAGCCAAATAATCGGCAGCAGAACATTGCATATCGAATGTAGTGCATAAATGAGGCTGAAAACATGTGAATGTTCGGTAAATTTCTGTTGTCTGCAGATAGCATGCGAAACTAAAGTTAAATGCCAGAATGGGCGAAGGGATTCATGACCAGTATTGTACGGCGTCATGCGGCCTGTAGTGATTTTTTGGGTCCATAATATTGTAAACTGAAGACGTAATTCCGTTCAGCTGCTTTTGCCATATTACGGAGGAGACTGTGTAGAGTATTGTCATTAAACCATTCAATAGGCCTTCAAAGTCAGTGCTCATATGAGGTCAGCTTCGGTTCGTTCCATTACTAGGTGAGTAGTTGTCAGAACTCGAAGAACCCCCGTGTTCGGGTACAGGTAGCATTTATTGTCAAAATTTCTAGGAGTAACTCTAATTGGCACCATGAGTTCTGGGGATCCAGGAGTCTTGTACAAACCGTCTTATAATTTTTCTTTTCCATCTCTAGGAGGTAAGAAGCGATACTTCGCGCATTTTGAGTAGAAGCTCAAAGTTCGTTTCAATGTTAAGTGTGGGTTGATGTGATCCGCAGTCGTAATCTCTGTATCGGAATGGAAAGAGAAACAGAGAGGCATGAGAGGTAGAGTCAGTTATCTAAGAACCTCAGGAGACAGTATTGAAGACTAGGATGTGTAAAGGGGACGCAGGAAATAGGTGGGTACATAGTTTATTATTGTGCCTATAGAA